CAAGCACTTATATTTATACTTGCTAGCTAGATAAAGCAGATAGCGAAATTGATTAAACGATTGTTCAGAAAGTCAATAGCAAACACTATCTTCCTTATCGGAAATACAACTATATATACAGCTAGTACAAATCCAGCCGTTCTCCCGAATATATTGTTTCTGCTATAATACCGTTTTTTTTAGTAATCTCTTATTTGAAAATCCTTATTTATTGATATTAATAAAGCTAATACTTTTACAATAGGGTATATCGAATTTGCAACCAGATTGACTTTAATACAAGGCCTCCAGAATATCTTCCTCAATTATCTCGCCATCATTTTCGAGATCACAAAAATGATATACCACTATAATCAATTTATCAGCAAACTTCTTTTCGTAATTATCAATACAATCAATTAAGGAATTATATTCTTTCTCCAAATTCTATCTCAAAAAACAATGAAACAGATATATTCAATAAGTATATCAAAGATCGACCCTACTCTTAGATATATTGCCTTCGGTATCTGTAATTACACTTATTAAACAAACCGATTGCAAGCCAAAGATATCAAAAGAAAGTCTCATTTACGTGTATCTTTGTTATCCAACCCATCTTTTTTATCATCCTCCTCCTCACCAATAGAATTACTATTACTCCCACTGCAACTCGACTTTTCCTTTTTTCAATAAAACGCTTGCCTTATATAATAAAAGAGGTAGACACTCTCTTCACCATAAACTATAAAGAAGTATATCAGCAAAGCAAATACAAAAGAAAAATAAACAACTCATTACCACACACACATCCTTCTATTGCTTTAACTACATTAATAATAACTTGCTCTTACTACTGTATTTTCTTAATAATATAAAAGATATATTGATTATTGATTGAGGGATATAAAGAAAATAAATAACCAAAAAAGATTTAAAAAAGAAAGGGAAATTTGGGTAATCTATATACTTCAAAGACTTTATATTATTACTAGACTACAGAACAGTTTCCTCCATTTCCTATACACCTTCCCGTTATGAAAAAAGCAAAATTTGTGTATACGCTTGTTTATTATACTATACTATAATATAAACAATAATGCCTTATTGGAATTGCCGATATATTTATAGATTAGATAATTATAAAACTTGAGAGCAAGCTTTTTCGAAAAGGGGGATAATATTATGGATCGTATCCAATCACAGTTGTGATCGCTTATATATACGTTTGCGTATATATACAATCATGTGTACATAGCTAGTATATAGGAGTACTCTATAAGCGCTTTGCTCTCAATTCTATAGTTATAGATTCTAAGGATAAATTGTATCCTGCTCTTGCAGTTCTTCTAAGGCAAAGTGTCACATTAGTTATTTCTTATTTACTATTTTTTATTTATTATTATATTAAATTATTAATATATTAATAAAGTATATTTGTATTCTAATAAATTCCCTTATAAAATATTCAGTTGTTGATAATATGCTGTTTGGAGAAATCTTGCTTTTTGAAGTTCTGATATTTTGAAGCTAAAGGGAGAGAGTAATATCAAGCTTTTTGGATTTGAAGAATAGTGGATCTCTAATAAAAACTATAATCCAAAAAGATATGGATTTTGGATTCCTAAAGATAGGATAAGATATAAGCAAGCTTGGAATCTATTTTATTATATAGAATGAAAGAAGATTTTTTTCAACTTCTTAAAGAATTCAAAAAAATACTAAAAGCTATAATAAAAGATAATGGTAAATAAAGAAATCCTAATGATTACTTTTTATTCTAATTATATATATTTATCAAATTCTATTTCAATATAGTGTTGCTTTTCTTTCTCTTATATTTTTTGAATTCTTTTCATCTTATAATAATCTCTTTATATAGTCTTTACAATTCCTTGTTGAAAGTAGTCTATAGATTATAACGAAATAGAATCTAATTCATTATTATTTGAATTTATTATTGTATTATTCATAATGCTTGGAATACAATCGATGATACAATCAAATTGAACTTCGAATGAATTTTCTTTAAAGCTATTTTGTCGAATAAAGTTATATAGAGTATATAAAGTATAAACTATATATATTTAAGTTGTATATAGATATTTTTATTATTATATTAGAAATGGAAAGCGTATTTTGAGTACTCCAAAAATTCTCTCAATCTTATTTTGTAAAGAAAAGTATCAAAGGTTGAAAAGCTCTTCTGATATTTTGAGTGTCTTATTGAATCCCAATTACTCTTATAAATAATATCTTATCCCTTTGAATAGAATAAGAATCTGTCTAGTATTTATATATTCTATATTACCTAGATAATAATAACCTTCTGGAATTCATAAACCTTTTGAAATCAAAACATCTAAAAGTACCTTTTGATTATTCACAGAACCTTTCCAATCAGCTAATATATAGCAGAATTATAAATTGAAAATAATTATTGTAAGAATATTCTATACAATATACTCTTTTCGATTGAAATAAGCAGATCAATCTTCAAAAGGTACTGTTACTAAAATAAAGATACTATCGAGAGCTCCTAGGCAATTTGCAAAATATATATAATATTTTTCATCTTCTGCTATTCGAGGAAAAGCGAATTGTATAATTAAATCCAATAGCTTTACTACTAATAGATATAATATTATTATAATATCTAAAACTTGATAAAATTATTTTAAAATGTATTAGAATAAACCAATAAATAGATTTATATAAAATGTTTTTTGTATCTATAAATTGTTTTTTTAGAATGAGAAAAGGCTTTAGCTATACTATATATAGTTCTACACTAGCCTATAATATAAAGAAATACATATAGCTTTTGATCAATTGAAGTATATTAAGAATATTGTAGCTTTGTTTTTTTATAACAAAATTTGATCAAAAATTGAAAAGTGTATAAAGGCATATATAATTGTTCTTAATAATATTAAAAGTATTTAGAATCAAGAAAAGATTGTATTTTAAATTCATTAAAAATATCAGTTCTTTTTTTCGAAATTGGAGTATAATAAAAAGAGTTAATAATAATAGCTAAATTATAAATCAAGATAGGAATAAACTATTCAGAATCATTAATTTTATTGTCGCTTATTGTGAATAAGAAAAAAACAGTTTATAATCTAAATTATTAATAGAATCTAAAGCTATAATAAAAAGAATATTGAAGAATCTATTTTTAAATTAAGCTATATATATTCTAGTATGTGGGGAATAGAAATGTAAAGTAATCTAAATCGAAATCAGAAATGATTTGAAGAAAAATAAAGATATTCTATAAACTTAAATATTTGAAGTACTAATATTATTATAATACTATATGGATATAGAGTAAAAGGCTTATAAAAGTCTATAAAAACGCAGATTATTTGTTAGATTGAAAATAAGGACTGCTTTTTCTAATCCTCGTTTTCAATCTGCGTTTTTATTTTCCTATACAAATTTGATAAAAAACGTGAATTATTTAGTATCATTTTAGAGTAATCTCGCAGAGGAGCGAATAGCCCCTGGCATTGAAGTTAAATTGCTAAATTCGGTCGCGACGATCACGCCGCTCAAATAGTTCCTTATCTTAGCACGTCTAAATACCCTTAGGGAGGTCCAAAACAGACGTTAATTAATATAAATAAATAAAAAAATAAAAATTTTAGAGTAATCTATCTCCTCCTTATCTCGAAATACATTAAATTCATTGAAATACAAATTATTTGACGGAATCCGCAATTTGATATCTAAACATGAATTCAAAATCCGTTTTCAAAAAGAGCGGAATATTCAGCGGATCCAGCGCGGATTTGTACATCCAAACTAGCCCTAACTCTATCGTCTGTGAAGGGGATATGATATTGTACTAGGTATACCCAATATTCTGTAGGACGATTATACTGACAGAGTAGCTATCTTTCATTCTTATGGGATCAGAACAATCCAGAATCTTTTTTCTTTTATCATTAAAGGGAGTTCTCCCGACTCTTTTGTCGACTAATCAGGTATGAGGTTACATTTTGAATTGCTACAAATCGGATGATGTGACCCCCTGAACCAAGGTAATCTATTCAGGATATCAGATCCACTAATTGAGAGCAGATGTACCTTGAACGATTGGACAGGGTGAGATATGAGACCTAGTATATCTAGGATGGTGAGTGCAAACTTCTCAATTACAGTCAATAGCAAAATCTGTTTGGTGTATAGGTATTTACACGAGTCCAGTAGTAAGACCTACTCATTACTTCATAGGGAGCATGAGACTCGTAGCAGTACCGGCATAGACTTCTTGCCGTCAACTTTTTATCAGAACCAGATCATCATCTCAGGCCAAGCATGGCTGATTCCACTGATCTTCTTACAAAGCATTGCCCAAAATGGTAACACCTGCCGTTAGACATCAAGACAGTTGTTGCAGCAGGGATCAAATGCGGAAAATTCGACATTTGTAAGATTTTCCTTTCATGGGGGTCTGTATCTTAGTTTTCGCCGTGAATGAATATATATTTTGAGGTGGTGCAGATGTAGACATGCAGAATCTCTGCGTCACCCTTTGATTCATGAATGTGCCGCCCGTAGCGACATTTAAGCTGTTTTTTTGCAGAGCTATCAACACGGCTCCGCAGGGTCTTCTGTGCAACTGAGCATTCCTTGGGGTAATCCGAGTTAAGCGGGCGGTTTCGGCGTCGGGAGTCTCTCCGACATCAGTTGCCCCGAACTTGCAGATGGCCGGCACACACTTCCGGTCAACCCCCGTACATTACTTGACTAGGATTCAGTCCTTATTACCATAGAATCATTGGTGAAGAAAACACTGCTGCCATCACTTGCTCCCAACCAAATTGAACCAATGTTTGTCACCCCTGCCATATGCAATACTTTCTACTTGCGCCAAATGTTACTGCAACTAGACGCCGATGATATGCATTGAGAGATGCGGGCTTCACAAACCCAAAGTTGGCACTGGCCAATCTTTCGAATCTTGTAAACCCATAGCTTGCCACGCTTTTATACGTAAAGCCCTGCAGGCAACGCGGCTACCTGATAATACCGTAAGTTCGCTATGAGTATCGCAATTCTCTCCATCCATACTGCACGTCCAGTCTTCAAAAAGCGGAAACTCGACAAGCCCCATCATGTCTTCACCTAATCTAGGCCCTTTGGCAATGAGTCAAACAAAAGATGACCTCGTCAAGCATCTGAACATTAGTGCGGAGACGTATACCCTGATGGCGGTAAGCATTCATTTCAACCAAACTACCCTCGTTGACTCAACCTTATCATTGCCAAATTGAGAAAGTTTAATCAATAGAGTGCTTACTTATCTTGGCCACCATTTCAGAAAGAGACAGATGTGGTCTATAGGTGGCTTATTTCTGAGAAATGCCACCTCAAGGGGAATTGCAAAGGGAAACCTCCGTACGATTGGAGCGATATTGTCGAGAGATCGAAAGATGAAGCAATGAAACTGATAGTCCAAAATGGTACTGATCAGACGGCATACTACTGGAACTTAGCCAAGCCGACTCCCGACTGCCCAAACTGGATCGCAAGATGGTTTTTATATCATAAATTTCGCTATCGAGATGGTAGGAACAGAAATATCAGGGCCGATAGTAGGGATACTGCGCCATACAATCCGAAACCCCCTTCGCACCACCATCACAACAATTACCGCCATTCGCACCATTCATACCCTTCACACCATAGAAATGTACAGGTAGATGAGCAATACAGCCACTCTTCGTACTATTCAAGTGCGTCCATGAATACAGGTATGTGTAATGGCTTCTATCCACCAAAGTTATCCACAAAAGCTGGAAGCAAAGAAATGATGTCTGTGTGGAACGTATGCGCGCCATATATCTCGCATAAAAGACCCTTTGTGCAGCAGTTTGCCACTAGTCGATGAGCTAAACCATGGTTTTGGCGCTCTATTCTAACTACCGACAGGAGACAGTCAGGGATACAACTATTCTTCCACTGGTGTGTACCATCTCCGCTTCCCCACTACCTAGAGTACTAACGTATCTTTCCAGAGCCTAGCTCATCTACTAGTCGCTACGCCACCTACTCATCTAGTCAAGCCTATGCACCATCGTCGACGTACGTATCGTATGCGTCATCGCCGATCACCCGAGAGAGTGGACAGACTAAGCCATACGATCCAGTTAGAGATCTTTAGTCGCCCGTAGTACGACTGTACGAGACGCGGCTATATTGGCATACCGCACATGAAGCCATGATGTTATGAGTTCTTGTTACGATAGGATGGAGTTCACGGCAGGCATCAATGCGAGGGGCGCCGGGATGAATTGTTACGATAATCATGGCAATATAGTTACTTGTTCGGTTATTGAGGAATCATTGGTCGACGTCTTACAACATGGGAGTTTTATCTATTTTACTGCTGGGGAGGCATGTCTACGAATGTTCTTTGGATCGGGAATTGACTTCAAAAGTGCTTTAATATCATAATATCAAGACCATCTTCAACCACATCCTCTTTCGCAACCTGCTGATGTTTGTCTCAAGCATACCTTCCTTGATTAAGTGGCCATACCACTGCTTGATTCTCTATCTTACAAGTTTTCTTTGTGATGATTAGCTGTCAGGCATATAGCCATAATGATTATTCATACCAGTGGTGGAATGGAATCAGGTATTTCTAACCTCAGAGCACTCATACGAGCTTTGTGCACTAGAGACATTCGTATTCCTACGGTAGACCATCTTGACGAATAGTATTGCATGGTTTGCGAGTAAAAGTGTGGAAGCCCGTGTTTCTGGACAACAAAACTGGGAAACTTGGGTGGCGGTACCGTATAGAGGGTCCAAAACTTCCTGTCTCGTGTGGCTAGCCATGTTAAAGCCTCATATCTTCTCCACAGCCTGAATATTCAGACTCAAAAGATCTAAGACCGTGCAGCTACCATTATGAGGTATCAACAATTAGACGTTCGATCTTAAGTGTAGCGGCTACTCATAATAACTTAAACCTCTATTCAATTCGAATAGAATATAATCCGCCGCAATAAGAAAACGAAACGAACATAAAGTACTGCTTATACTTCTAGGTTCCTTACTGGTTTGTGATATATACGATCCAGTTGAACACTAATCGAAAGCTAAGCCCCCCTTTAATTTCCTCCCACGCGATCAAAGTTACACATGCACGGCGCGATTATCCGAGCCACCAGTACGTTCTGGGAAAGTTCTCCAGCGATCCGGTAATTTCCGTGCGTCGAGTAGTAGTACTGTGTTGTGCGGCGAGTGGTGAGTCGGTGAGCCCCACGTCTCGTGGAATTATGTCGAGTAATGTTGAGTTCTTTGGGAGTAGTGTGACTGATCCTTTAGTACTGTTGGGGTAGCCAATGTTTTGTTCAGGGTCTTTTGCTGTGGAAAGGTTTCCTATATAGTAGGTTCTGTGTCTTCTCGTCTAGTTAGTATTACTTGGGTAAATCTTGTATGATTTGAAAATAGAAGCTAGTGGACGTCTAAAGAGAGTTCTAGATTATATTTGCTTATCTAGGTAGCTAGATATATGGCTCATCATGGCGTTCAATTTTTCAGAGACATCTATGGTTTCAAAGAGCTCCTAAAGTAAGGTCTGTCGGCGGGACAGTGGCCATATGCAGTTTCTTCTGCCCCGTGGTCCCAAGATGCAGTGTAAACCGAACCCAACGATACACAAGTTATGATTCGTATGAGGTCGATCAAAAGTTTCTATAGGCTGAAACAGTTACCCGATCCTCGCTCTTGGAATTAGATATGCAGTTAGGCGTGGCTTGGAAGCATGGCTCCAGATTCACGAGATCAATGGAGATGCTCAGATCCGATCAACCAGCGATTCGGAGTCTAGGCAGTGCAGTTCAGGCTATTGAAGAGCTTGTTTTATCCCTGCATGCATACGATATATTTCCCCGCTTTGTTCCACTAGCATGCCATGGAAACTTGAAGATTCGAACCCCTTTGCGGGAATCCCAACCATTCTGGCATTTTTCCACTGAACGGCTCCCAACAGTTGTGTTGAAACTTATTGCTAATTATTTGGGCTTAATTTCATGAAGACAAATACTTATATATCACCATATATATTACTATACATAGAATTTGGATTGTGGAGTTACATTAATTGTGAGACAAGCACCTAGATAATCTTTCAAATTGATTTTCAGGTGCCGTCTTGGAAGTATCTGCCAATACATGTTGACTCGCGTAGAGCTTCCCGAATAAATAGATGCGCATCATTCTCATTTTGATCACATTCGTTCTCCACGTGGCTTGCTTAAAAGCCCAGGGCCAGGTCCATCCAATTCCTACAACAGTCGATCACAAAAATTGAGATCTAGAGGATTACACATGCAATAATTTTACTAGTGGTATGTTGCATGATACATGGTGTCAACTTGCTCAATGTACATTATTATCCCATCTGCTTGTAGATAAGAGCAACTCCAACGTTTTCTCAGTAGTTTAATGAGAACTGAAATGTCATTCCCATGTTCGTTTCTAATATACGGAGTATCTAGGTGTTGAGTTTGACGACATACTCGTGGTAATTTTACCCGTAAAGTTATAACGGGTGATTGTCCAACTGAATGGCATTGGTAGTATTCAATAGCAATTAAAAGTTTGGTTGTAAGCAGTGATAGACCAATATGAGGGTTCAAGTATGAAATGTGTATCGTACGTGGAGCGCAGTATCTTCAAGGAAGGAGAACCTGGTAACTTTGCTTGATGTCCTATATTCTGGGAATGAATCAGTGGATTTATCAAACTCTGAAAGAACCCATTTTTGTCTCTAGATATTCTCCTTCAGCTGTCAAGTCATAGGAGACGACAAGCGAGGACGTGCTTTATTAAAAAGACATACTTGCCATCAAAACTCAGGTAGAGTCTACGACCGTGAGGCATCGTATACTCAAAGTAAAGATCGTATAGATGGATAGATGGTGCAGCCTTAGTGCTCGATATGTATTTCTTTTCTGTAAGCTTAATTAGATATGCTCCCAGGACCAGTAATCTTGTTCGTTTGAAATGAATAATGAATCCATGAATCATTTTCCTGTGAGAACATCATTTGTGGATTCTTACTCTCATCGAATGACTTTATTTAAAACATCCAATCTTGATCGAAATAGTGGTGATGTGGAACATGTATGGGTGAGTGCAACATCTGCTGCTGAATACTATGTCACTGGCGCGTTTCGGTGTAGCGAAGGCAGCGCGAGTGATGTTTCTCCGGGGAAATAGCTCAAGATGATGACTATAATGGATGCGATTCCGGATTACAATGAAACTTCTACCCCCTGGATGGCTGGATCCCAGTTCAATCCATGTGTCATTCATCCAGGATAGAAGAAAATTTAATGCTGTTATCTGTACGAGGATCGGATTATACGAACTCTTAAACCCTGGCAGAATACAGTGACATGCGGGTGACACTATCTTTGCAGTTTTTTACAGCTGTGGAATTCCTGCGTTATTACACGAGAAAAGCTTCTACCAAAGGGATTACAACTCACATAGCATATATGGCCCAAGTATATGGTTCAGCTGTCGCCAAGTTTTGAAGGGCCCGCCAAGTAAATCAGTTTCTGGGACAGGATGGATAATAGAGAGATGGATAACGAGCGAATCTTAAATCGAAATGGAAGACGAGTTCCTATGAGCATTACAGTCAATCATCAACAAATATCATCAGAAAGTAATATTGACTTTAATGATTCTATTGAACGAGATTATGTATGTGCTAATCCAGAATCTATGGAATCTAGGTCGAGTGGAAGGTTACAGTCAGAAGCCGAATGACTCAGCATTTAACTTGCGTATCCATCTAGTAGGTACTTATAGATGAGGAGTAGATTGTAACTTTTGGTTGTATCGTGACAAGAAAATCTACATTTCAATCGAAATTCTTTAACAAATCAAGATATTAATATGATGTCTCAAAATATTTATTAATAAGATAACTGTTATTTTTCAAATAAAAAAACTCAGCAAATATTCTAAAGAGACTTAAAATATAAAATTGAGTTATAATCTATTTTCGAAAAATGCTCATTTTCAGATTTTCGTTTATTTTGTGGATTTGGTGTTAGGGGTTTTCTGTCCATTGCGAGGTTGTTCTTCCCTGTTGATGCAAAACATAAATTCAACATCAGATGGATTTGTCTTTCTTGAGAAGACGGAGAAGGAAGAAACATCAAAAGTTTATATCAATTAGTCGTTTCATTCCCGCCACTTTCGTCCTGAAATTTATTCGCCACGAGAATTGGCACGACGAGATCTTCACATTGGTTACTCCAGGGTGGTGATTTGGTCGGCCACCACGAATTCTTATATGCAGATACCTACATCACCCGTCAAAATGCTTGAATTCGAAAGTTCTCATTTATAAAGCTAAGATTCCCCAGATGCTCTAGTCAAAAGTAGCCATACTCATCATTTATTTGGTTTATGAGCGTCAAATATGGAGTGAGCGGAAGTTTCCAACACCTACTTACATTCAGCAGACACGAACACTGCAAACATGAGCTAAATCGGCTTTCTCAATGCTGTAGGAATGCAAGAATATCACCATGACACCATCTACTTTACGTTGGGAAGAAGGCGTAGCTGCCAACATGATCAACAACTTTGAGTGGAGGATCTAAAATCAGATGTTGCCAGTTATGATAGCTCAATGCCGCACAAGTCTTGGCGGTTTAGTAACAGGCTAATTCAAATTGAACCACACCAAAATCTTCGTGCCGATGCGATGGCTAAATGCCAGAATTTATGTGCCGATTCGGCGTCTAAATGATGGAAAACTTGCGGCGCCGATACCGATGCCGATACAGGGTTCGGGCCGGGCCGAGCTCACATAACTTGAAATGCTCATATGTTTCCTGCTTATCGTGAGACGACCACGAGTTTGATCGATTCGACTATCATATCATGAGTGAGTTTCAATATCGGTACTCTCGCTACTGACATAATTACACGATGTACAGCTGGCTGCTTAGAATCCCAAGCATACCTAGGTAGCTCAATCGCAATGATGATCTTCGGCCAATATTGGACGGTCAAGGCCTATCCGAAAGCCAAAGAATTTCCGTATTTTAGTTTGATATCTGAAGATGGATAGATGCATCCGAATGAAACCGGAGTGTTCGACTGGAAAGATATAATACAGTATCACATCTGTCGTTGCTTCTTCGCCTTGTACAACTCTCTCATCATCAAGCGATAGAGTCCACAGCATGCAAAGTTGTGACTGAGCCATTACTTGTACCTCAGGTCTTCTCTGGAAAGAAATATAGACAGCTTTCGATGCTTCGGCTCGAGAATATGACAGAATCTTCAAAGGCTGTTATTCTCTACGAATGTTTGGTTCGAGACTGCTAATTGTGCATTTTGCATGATTCTTTCCAACGGGTACTACATAAGAGCGGCAGGTGAGCGTGATGGAACGGAGCCAAAATTATTTGTTCCAAAACAATAGAATTAGCATTCGTCTCTGAGGCGGGTGG